TGAACTAGAATATGCTTCAGCGGCAGTCCAATCCGCATCAGATCCAGTCCAATCCGCATCCTAAGTGGCCTGGGCTGTGACCATTATAGTGAACTAGAATATGCTTCAGCGGCGGAACCGGCCAGGCTCAGGCGTCCTCCTTTTACACAGATGCCATGAGATGGTGCCACTTCTACATTTCCTAGCAGTTTTCGCTGCGTTGTAGGACTATCATGGACTTCTTCAAGCTTTCAGATGCAGTTAATTTCAACTCGTGTGTTTGCATACTGCCAAACAGCCAACTTGCTGACTCTCTGGCTCGGAGGTATCATTTTGGCCAAATATACATATATTTTCGTATTTACCACTTGCGCTCGGAACACTCGGAGCACATGTGGTAGTTACTTATTCTATAGAGTTGCCTGATTTTTTTTACACTCTTGGGCCTGTTTCCAGTGCACAGTTTTTTCCAAGCAGTCATAGCAGTCATGGAATTCGCTTCAAATAAATCATCATGAAAAACCTGAAAAAGTGGGAATTTCGAAAAAGCAAATTGGTTAGACACCCTGAAAATAGAAAAAAGGCACGATTCAAACAGAAGTCGGACATTGACACTATGACACGAAATACATACTGTAGGGCTGTCTAGCAACCACCGCAGACAGTGGCTTGATTTTCCTGCAGAAAAGCTAAATTAGGACTCTTTAAGAGTAGTAACGTCAGTCTTGATGCATTACCCTGAAAAAAAAAAAAAAAAAGAGAGAGAGAGAGAAAACAGGAATTCGAACTCGCGACGCGACCACTTCCCCAGCTGCATGTCAACCCTCTACGACAACACAATAGCATGACGACGTCTGAAACGACTACAAATTTACGGCGACGGGTTTTATCATTTTTATTATTACACCACGGTGATGGGGCCTGTTGCTACAATTGCATCACTATTATGACGGGCTCCCTCACTGTTAAGATTACGTTACACTGCCGGGCCCCATCACCGTAGTGAGTGCCTTTGAAGTTTGCGTGAGTGATGAACTCACTCACGCTTTTGACACCCTCAAAGATGACCCTTGGCGATTCCCTACTTCCCTCACAAAACCACACTGCCACAAGTTACAATGACACCATAGCCACCATTTTTCTTTCGCTGCATTTGCACTAGCAGCAAAAAAAAAGATTGCCAGGGGAAAATATTTTCTAGCATTGGGCCCAAAGTTACAAAATAACCCGAAAAAAATGTGGAAGTGTTTAAAATCAATCAGCAAGGAATCAATTGGCATCCCCAGCATAAACGATGGCGGTGTACTTTTAATTGGTGACACCGATAAAGCTTCTGCTTTCAGTCGCTATTTCCAGGCTTCTTTTACGCACCCTTGTCGCAGTGATGTACCGTGTATTCCTGACAATGTCTTTGAACCTATGCCGGAGATGACGGTAACACATGGTGATTTACTTAAGTTGCTTGACAAAATGAAGGCTTCTCCTGCAAAGGGCCCTGACGGTATACCCTCTTATGTGTTGAAGGCTTGCTCTGATGTAATTGCCAACTACTTTGTCAAACTCTTTGAGAATTCGTTACGTACTTTTTGTTTACCTAGCGAATTGAAAGTCGCGAATGTGGTTCCGGTATATAAGAGTGACCCAAAAAATATTGTTTCCAACTACAGACCAAACAATGGAGCACATAGTCTACAGCATCGTAATGAAACATCTAGAAAGTAACAATTTTTTTACGGCATCTCAGAATGGATTTCGGACTGGTCTTTCATCTTCAACACAGCTCATCGAATTCAGTCATGATCTTTTTTGCTCATTTGACCTTGGGGTGCAGACAGACTGCATATTCCTGACTTTCAGAAAGTGTTTCATTCTGTGCCCCATGTTCAATGGCTACATAATCTCATCCCTCGGTATTACTCTTGCATTGCTTGATTGGATCCGGTGTTATCTACAAGATCGGATGTAACATGTCGTAATTAATGGTTCCCAATCTGAATATGTTGCTGTTACTTCGGGAGTTCCACAGGGGTCTGTGTTGGGACCTTTGCTGTTCCTAGTGTACATCAACGATATTGCTCAGGATGTGTCATGCAAGGTACGTCTGTATACAGATGATTGTGTGATTTGCCACTGTATTAGATCCACCTCTGACCATCACTACTTGCACTGTGATTTTGTGATAAGTGGCGTATGAGTCTAAAACCCTAAGAAGTGCCAGTGCGTCTCCTTTACTTGTAAACGCAACCCATACCTGTTTCATTATACATTAGATACCATCCAGCTAACGCGAGTAACTGAGTATAAATACCTAGGTGTTTACTTTTCATCAAATTTTACCTGGACTAAGCACGTTGAATATGTCACAGCGAGATCCTGCAGAATGCTAAACTTTGTTAAACGGAACTTCCGGTTAGCTCCTCCCAAAATCGGAGAACTACTCTACTTTTGAAATGTCCGACCTATCTTAGAGTACGCCTGTGTGGCGTGGGACCCACAAACAAAAACTTTGTCTAATATGCTCGAGATCGTACAAAACCGCGCAGCTCGTTTTGCGACAAGCAACTATGACTTCAGTGTCAGTGCGCTTAAAAATAGGTTAAGGTGGGATTTGTTAGTATCACATAGTAAACACTTGAGATTACAAATGCTATTCAAAATATTTCATTGGTTGATCAAAATAGATGAAGAATTTTACCTTTCACCTCCCCATTTTTTATCTAAGAGAACTTACCACTTCCTAAAATTAGGGAATTTTCTTGCGGAACGAACATTTACCAATATTCCTTTTTTCTGATCACAATCTCCCAGTGGAATCGGCTTCCACAGGAGGTTGCAGACTGCCACACTGAAACATGTTTCAGGGACACATTGCTACTGTCATAGCTGCATTTTTGTTATGATCTGTTTTTGTGTTCATACTGTTTTTGAATAGTCATTTTTGTGTAAGCGTATTTTACGTTGTATATTTCCCCCCTGCAATAATGCCCTCGGGCGCTATAGGTATTCTTTTTGTAGAATAAATAAATAAATAAATAAATAAATTACTCAGCAGCTGCCCGTGAGTCCGTGGCCGGGGCGCACACGATGAAAGTGGTGTGTAGTGACACTGCTGTCTTGTTTCCTGTTCAAAAGGGCTTCTTGATGCAGACCATGCGGAAGTGCGTCACAGTTCTGTGTGCTCATGCTCTTGAAATTCGCACACGCTAGGTGGTGATAGTTTCACTGGGTGGTTTGTTTTTGGAGCTCTTTCACACTGAAACTGAGACTGTGTGGTAATGAAAAGCCTGTAATTATATTTTGCACACTGCAGTTAATGATGTGCCTTGTTATGACTAACAGGCCTCCAGCAACACATTGCTGCAGACAAACGAGAGGCCAAAATTTTTGTGTCCGTACCCATTAAGGTTGCATTAATGTGCTATTATGGGTGAGGACCAAAGTGCCTTGCTGTAAAAAATCAATTTGTGCATGAAAAAGTACCTCATCAGCTTTCATGTTGATAAACCACAAGGGAACCTGTGCAATGTGTGTGTGTGTGTTTGAATACTTCTAAGTGAAATTGCAGAAAGAAAAGTTGGAGAGGATTGCTGAACATCATCTTATGTGGTAGCTGCATGAAAGTGTTTTTGTTTTTTTGCTAGGTTGATAATGCGCTAGCAGGGTTGTGTTTCATAGTTGTCAAGACTTAGGCAATGTCAACAACACTTTGCATGTGGAAGGCAAACATACTATTCTCCGGTCTCTCCTCAACTTTAATTTTAGTGAATTCCAGATGATGTGGCAGACAAGGGTGTGCTCCGTTCCAAATCTGCTTCGTGGACATCAATATATAAGAACATTCGAAATTTTGGGTTCTCATAAAGTCTTCAGTGTACAACTTCCTGCTCAAGTTTCAGGTCCAGAGCAACATTGAGCCCCCACCTCTACTCACCCCATGTTAGAACCGTTTTTTTTTTTTTTTAATCTACACATTTGTGATTGTAGCGGAGGCTGAAAGGCAGCTTTGCCAAAATACGAGAATGTGGTTAGGTGGAAGCGTGCTTTTACCTCATTTAACAGAAATCGTGTTACAAAACTCGACTCTGTTTAACTTCCGAAGTAAATTTTTTTTTTTGTACACATTCTCATTCTAAACTTTTTTTCAAAAGTCACGTGTATGCTTCTGCTGGTAACTCTCCAACAAAAATTGGTACGTGCACTCAGTGTTGTCGTGGCTGAAATGCAGTTCACCTTCTTTGCTATCTTATAGAATCAAACTGCTGTAAAAGCATTCAATATATATTTGACTCATTGCGGATGTAAACACACTGGTGCACATAGTTGTATTTCTGCAATATAGCAACCTTTCACCAGTGTGAACAAATTATCCTAAGCTATTAAAGCTGATTTTTATTTGTACTAAAAAGACTATTGTGTGCATTAAACGTACGTGTTTGTACTAAAGAGACTTCAGTGTGCATTAAACGTACTTACAAGCATTGAAACATGCCTGAATCGGTGACAGTGTGCATATGAAGCACATGTTGCATCCAGGGTTGCCATCTCCCACTCCTTTGTTCAGAGTTCAGATTAGAGGGAAGGGTATGAAGCATGTAGTACATGCTAGCGCTAAGGAAATCAGTTCTAGCCTGGAAAAAACAAGTCCACTTGTTGAAACATCGGCTCAAGTATGCAAGTTTACGGAGTTTTTCATCACAAGCTTCCATCTTCCCCTTCTTGCCGTTTTTTGAATGCCTGGCTATGGATATTTAGCTTTTGCCATGGTAGTATATAGATAGGAGCACTTCCTGCTGCTTGATTCATGTGTAAAATCTGACCGTCTATAGAGAATGCTCCAAATCTTCCAAGTACTTGTTTTAATTAATTACTGTCTTTTGATGTGTCACAAATTTCCAGCTGTGTGAAGTAAAAGGTTAGATCAGTTATCCCATTAGGACGAAAATTGCATGCTCCCAGCAGATTGTGTGTGTGCGTCCATGTTTCAGATGTCAACTTTTTTTTTTTTTTGTACGGTGATGCAGGAAAAAATGCTACTTCGGCAGCACAATGAAGCAGAAAGCTTGCATGCTGTTCAGAAGCTTGATTGGGAGTGGAAGCTTAAAGAACTTGGCCTTTGTGAAGTGAAGGCAACACCTGTCATCGACGACATTTGCGTGCCCAGTGTGCATGTTAGCGACGAGTTTGATGTGCTGCCTGCATGACAAGGCCTGTTGGTGAAGACATGCCTGATGGACTGCTGTGGGAGTGTGTGTGAAGTTCAGAACCATGAAGACTTTCTCAACACAGAGATAGTATTCGCAGAACTGGGTGTTTTAACTCAACATGCTGATTCACAAGACCTTACAATTTTTACTAAACATTCAGCAAGTGCATGGTCACCAGCTAGGTAGGTATAATTCTACAGTCTTCTGCAGCTGCAGTTGTGTGGAAATAAGCCCTGGCCTCTTAACTTTCTCTTAAATTATGCAGGGTTTCACAAACGTTTTGTGCAGTTGGGCTTGCTGCCAGTACATAAACGGAAAATATTGGACAATTCACTAGTGTCTATTGAAAACAGAATGGGTTGACACCACTATTGTCCGTTTAGGAAACTTGTGATATTTGCTTGGAGGCCATTGTGCAGTGGTGCATCGTAATCATTAGAGCCTGGTTTCAAATTTTTTCATTTGTCAAATATGGTAGCTTTAATAAGATTTTTGTATGTAGATGTTATGCTGTGGAACTCTCTGAATGTGTCAACTTGTTGCTCCTGCAGTATCTGCATGATGCTGTACTTCTGTGAAAAGGTTTCATTTATGGACAAAAGAATATTGCTGTTTTAATATCTGGTGTATCAGTCAATGTTTTGAATGTTTACAGTTGTTTATAGACAATGGCGGCATTGACAGTGTTCATCCCGGTTTTAGACATTTTTTCAACTACATGTGTAAATAAACATTCTCACAGAGTTGTCCTTTGCTCGTGTTGAATAATAGCGTCTTAATGTCATGCATATGCTCGTCAGCTGAGCTTACAACTGCCAAGCTTTGTTGGCATTGGCATGCTGTCTCCTGTTGAGTGGCCTATGACAAATGCAGGTAAATTTTTAGTACAGCAGGAAGCAACAATGAGGAAGACGTAGAAAAAAAACAAGGGTTTCACAAGTTGGCAAGATAGCTCTCTAAAAAGCAAGCTATCTTGCCAACTAGCCCAACTTCTGATCCTGCTGCAATGCAGGTAAGATTACCGGGGCTGTTGAAACACTGTTCCATTTCTTCAGGCCAAGCTGTATGCCTTTCTGTGAATAACCTGTCTCTTACTTTTCCATTTGCTAATCTATATTAAACCTGTTGACCAAGTGGCTAATGATATGATGAGGCATGGGGATCTCTGGCTCAGCAGTGACGAGCTAACGTGGTGTGGACCATAGGCGGTCGCAGGGTTCCCACTAAAATGCAAGGAACCCCCCCCCCCCCCCCTCCAAAAAAACGAAGCAATGACTTTCTTTGGTCGTCTGAAGCCTGCGCGGTCAGACTGATTAATCTCCTGTAGCGGACTCCCCCCACCCCGTAACGGAACGTGACAGCTGGCCGCCTCCCTTGTGGCACACCTACGGTGGTGACCTCTTGATTTGATCATTTGTAACAGTACTGAAAAGTGTGAAGGGCAAATAACATGGGAGGTAGGAAGGCTGCAGTCGACGATAGATTATTCTTTGATGTCACATAGGATGTATGATAAGCTCAGGGGAATGCACATAGATGAATGTGGCTTCAGAAGTCTGGGTAGTGAACACAAACATATCAAGCTAAATTTTGGAAGAGGAATGAAAACGGGAAGGAGACAAGATGAGCAACTACAGGGGAATTTTTCTTCAGAAAGGCAAATAGAAATAGCTACTAAATAAATCGAGAAAGTAATCACTGAGGATAATAAAACTGTGTGGACGTACACGAATCTGATTAGACTGAGATAAAGCTTGCTAAGGCAGTGACAAGTCGCCTCGGAAAAGGAGACACAAACCCAAGAGTTGGTGGGATCAGAAAGTTCACCACAGCAAAATGTCGGGAAGCCTCTAGGGAACACAGACACACTAAGAAGCGGGGTGAACCAACAGATGATGTTGAAAGAAAACGGGACATCTTTCTAACCTGTAGAAGAAAAGCATTCCTTCTGATCAATGAAAAGATTAGAAGAAAGGGGGCTCAGTGGCTGGCAGAAGTACATAAAAAAAAGGATAGAAAGGCAGCTGCAAAATTTTGTAACTCCCTAAGAAATGAGACAAGCCTAGAGCAGAGCTTTATAACTACAGCTGAAGGTGTTAGACTAGAAGGGGACGAAGCTATTGAATATATAAGAGCAAGGGTGACAGAAAAATTTCAACAACGAAGTGCCTTATGCACCTTAATAGAAAAGGATAGATCAAGTGGTGCAGTGACTACATTTTCACAACGAGAGTGGGAAAGTGCTGAGAAAAGGGCTCCTAGTAGTACATCAACAGGCCCTGGTGGCATCCCAATTATGCTGATAAAGGCACTGGGTCCCAATTCTAAGTAGACTTTGAGAGGGGCAGCAAGCAACACAATAATCGATGGTGAAGTCCCTGATGGATGGAAACTTAGCACGATGAGCATGATCTATAAAGAAAAGGGGGACAAAGCTGACATAAACAACTACCGTCCTATAACAGTGACACGGCCGCTGGATGAAAAAGCGCACGGTGCGTTCTTTCATCCAGCGGCCGTGACAGTGACATCAATGGTCTACAGGCTGGCGATGTAGATCATTAAGGAAAAGCTGCAGGCATGGATAGAAGATGAGGGTGTTCTAGCATTTTTAGATATCAAGGGAGCGTACGATAGCGTGGTTCAAGAGGACTTATGGGGAATACTGGACACACTAGGTGGGGAAGATGAAGTCGCTAATCTTTTAAAGGATAACAAGGTAGTTGTAAAATAGGAAAACAGGTATCCAAGCCCACAGATATAAAAGCAGGGGTGTCCCCTGCCACCCTTATTATTCATGATGTACATACAAGGATTAGAGGCCAAATTAGAGGGAAGTGGACTGGGCTTCAACCTCTCTTTCGACAAACAAGGAAAACTCATTGAACAGGCACTACTAGAATTGATGTAGGCAGATGATATAGTGCTAATGGCCGACAACAAGGAAGATTTGCAGAGATTGGTGGACATCTGCAGTAATGAGGGACATAGGTTAGATTTCAGATTCAGTAAGGGAAAAAAAATCGGCAGTCATGATTTTTAATGATAACGAAGGTAGTGAGCTTAGGATACAGGAGGTCAGGCTAGAGACAAGAGATAAATACGAATATCTGGGCATATGGAGAAGCAATGGGACCGAGTACCTAAGGGAAGACGTAATATACGTAACGACTAAAGGTAACAGGAATGCAGCGGTAATGAAAAACAGGGCACTGTGGAATTACAATAGGTATGATGATGTGAGAGGAATATGGAAAGGGATCATGGTTCCTGGTCTGACGTTCGACACTGTGGTCTTGTGCATATGAAATAAGAAGTTCAAGCAAGATAAGAAATTAAGCAACGTGGCATAGGTAGGCTTGCCTTAGGAGCTCAGGGAAATACACCTAATCGGGGAGTACAAGGTGCACATGGGATGGACATCATTCGAGGGCAGGGAAGCTAGCAGCAAGATTAAATTTGAGAGGCGATTGAGAGAAATGGGGGAGGAGCTTTGAGCTAGGGAGATTTTCAGCTATTTGTACATGAGGAATGTCGATACAAAATGGAGGAAGCGAACCAGAAAATCGACTGGTAAATACTAAGAAAATAGCAGGGGTGTAAACCAAAAATAACTATCGGTTAAGAAGAACGTAAAGGAAACGGAGACAGACATGTAGAGAATAGGCATAATTAAGAAGTCGGCACTATAGATCTATTGAACATTTAAAAAGTTTAAGCAGGATGTGATGTCACGGCAAGGACTCGCCTGCTCCGCCGGCACTTGTTGCCTTTTCAACACTTTTTCTGCGCCCACCGAGCACACGCTCTATAGCGATTCGTTGTGATTTCTCCTCAATTTCATGACGCAAATTTCTTAAGATACAAAATGCAAGGTTGCACAACTAGTGAAAGTTTTTGAAGCTGTAGGAAGTTTCCATAATTTAGCCTAGGATCGGCAGAGTAACGTCCGAACGGAAGATTTACCGTGAAAATGATGATACAGGAGAAGACGTTCCTTGTTTTTATCGCGTACACCATGGAATTGGTGCTAAGAAAGTATGCTAAGTGATACTAACGTGATTACAACTAGGCATAGACTCCTGGATTACAACATATCTGTGCTGAAGTATCAAATAAAATTGGGATGTTTTCAATTCACTCAATACATTGCGCTTTATCGTGCAAGCTACGCCGCATCTGGGAATATAATTGATTTGACAGAACTGCACATGATCCAGCAGGAGGCATTACATGAAGATGACTGTCATATAAACCCTCAGTTAACATATTCGTCAAATAAATAAAACAATACTGCCTCACACACAATGGTTTCAAAAATAATAAGATATTTTCCATTTACTGGGATCATATGAACAGGTTTTTTTTCAACAGTTGCCAGAGATTATGTAGTCGTATATCCTTATTTGCGTGAAATGCTGGAGTGTTAGACTGCCGCGTCACAAACCCTAATGGGAGCTTCATGTGGGAGCACCACTGATAGCAACGCTTTCAACACAAACGTCAGAAAGTCTAAATGAACTTTTTTAAATTTTTCTCCATCATGTAAAAGACTGAGCGGAAAAGACGACACACGAAAGAAAGAGGACACAGGACAACCTGTGTTCTTGTGTGTCCCCTTTGCGCTGGGTGCTTTACATTATGAAGCATTAGCGCACCCAGGATTTCTTGGAGGGGGGGGGGGGGAGGGGGTTGAAACTAGAGATAAAGCTAAAGTACCACATACAAAATAATTATTATAGGTTATTACCTGCATTATTATTATTATATGCAATGAGATGACGATGACAACGATCTCTAAGTGTTTTTACCGGGAAACCTTGAAAAACCTTTCCATCTCGCAAATGGGCACTGTCCGTTTCATGGCCGATCCCCGTGGTGGGTTGCGCCAGGACTCTGAGGAACCACCAACCAACCAACCTTGAGAAGGCCAACAAACCGTTCGATGAAGCAGTGCACGTACAAAGTAAAAAAGAAATCTAATAAAACAAGGCGTAACATAGTTCTCAACAGAAACGTCTGGCAAATACTTATTTTTTCTAGCTTTTTAGCTCCGTTTAGTGATTCTGGTTCTGACGTGTTGGCTGGCTGGCAGTCAAACAACGCTGTTTAAAAAGAATATGACTTATATGGTAGAGCAAACAAACAAAAAAAAGGAACGCAAGAAAGACACTTGGTGACGCCTGGCGCAGTGTGCTTTTCTTGTGCCCCAATCATTGTGTATTTTGTCTTTTTACCTGAGTAATCAGTAAATGCGATACAAGCAAGCCCCATTGGCAACTTTAACAGTTAAAGAACTGCAACTGAGGATTTTCTGGATAATGCAAACAGAATATCCTATATATTTAACTTCCTTTGAGCCTCGTCATGCTACAGGTATCAAAGTGCACCGTAAATATTGAATATGAGCTTTGCGGTATTCATTATAAGGAATACTTACAGTTCAACGCAGCGCACACATAGTAAAATTCTCAGCTTACGGATCAACTGCATTGTAACTACGCTTACCAATTCGCAATGTCATTCGGGTGCTCAAGTTTGGCTACTGAAGCACACTCACTGATAACTGGTCGTTGGATACATCTAACGGCGGTATGTGTCGAGCAATTGCTTCCTTTTTGGCTGCAATAAAGGATTCCGGTGCTATTGCTGCCTGTCTTGGATATCAATGCGGAATCTTTTTCTGGAGGTCGGTGAGGATCGTGTTCGACTGGCACTTCAGCGATGCCTGTGGTCTGTTCGGAAGTGCGCTACCGATGCAC